CAGCTGATCCCCATCAGTCCTCAGCTGCTCAGGGCTCTGTGCATTCCGACCTCCACCCTAATTTTGCAATATGAGATCTGAGCATACAAACAACCAGCAAGAAAAAATATGATGATCATGAGCACGGATTATTTATTTCGTTGGCATCAGGACAATGTGGACAGGAAGGGAAATTAAGTATTAAAGAACTAAATACACAATGTACATGTGAGTTACAGTGGTTTAAGAAATTCTTTGTCTGTCTGCCCTCCCTTCCCATCAGACCTCTTTCCACGAAAGACACTTTATTGTTTCTAGTGAGAATCAGTTCAACTGTTCCAGCTGCCCTCTCTCACTGTAGCTACCTGATACTAGAGGTACGGTGGAACTATTCAACTCCCTGGCTAAGTATCCTCCATCACTATCAGCGCCTGCTGCTGAAGACCATGTTACATATGTAAGATTTCATATTTAACCTGTGCTTGCAAATTCAAGCTTCTGTAACAGTCCACAGTCCAAAATAATAAAAGTGGTCTATACGTTCTCTAAAGGGCATTAATGAGGAAAACATATTTTCACAAGAATCATGAATAGTTTCATGGTCACCATCTGTGTGACAAATAAATTGGTGGGGTCAAGGTCAACTAGTTATTCTCTCTTGCTGGTTTCCTCACCACCCACAGCAGACCCAATTTAACAGGCATATTCCTTAGGACCCAGCTAGCTTATGACTGTGTAAACTTGCTGCTTAAGTAGTCATGGGATAACTCTCCCTATTTTGGTACAACCCCCCATATTTTAGTAATGAGGGCTTTGAGGATTGCGTCTGCCATTGCTGGTGCTTAGCTTGATGCCAGATTGTCCATTTGCTTTCATTCCTTACTTTAGGCTTTGTCACAGTTTTGATAGAACTGTGTAGTCTTCTAGGTCATTTTGGAAGTTAGTTAAGAATTAATGCGTAGCGAAACCCAGATAAGGAGGGCAGATTTACTCTCCTAAAGGGCATTAGTCAACCAGGTGGATTCAAAATGACAATTCATGATTAGTCGTTGCCACTAAGCTACCTCTTACTTCTAGATTTATTCTCATTGAACTCAAATTTAACTATCTCCCAGAAGTGGGATTTGAATGATTAGCCCAGCACATTATTCTGGGTTTCCAATCCAGTAACATTACCACTTTACCAATGCCTTCTCTGGTTTGTATATGTCCCGTTTAATAGTTTTAATTTGTGAAATCATTTTGTCCATGAATATTCCATATGTTATCAACTAGTACACAAAAAAAAAATTGGGTTGGTCTGAATTATAGGCAGCAGAGCAAATCCAGGACCAAACATATTTGTGCATCGATGGCTATTCTGTAAGAATAAGGTGTCAAGCTGGATGTAATGTCCAACCACAGATATTGCTTTTAACACATCAAAGTAGATGGCCTCTAATGTAATGTAAATGTATTTAACGGCTGGGCAAATCCTGAATATTCCTGTAAAGCTTTGTTGAATTATTTTAATTCAGCGATCCTTACATCCTACCCAAAGAAAATTGCATTGATTTTCTCTTGGAGCGTTTATGTTGCCGCGGTACATCAAAGGCTCAGAGTCGCTGAATTGAAAAGTATTCAGCAATATTAACTTCTGGGAAGAGTACACTGCAAAACCTCTGCCAGGATATCACTCTGCTGGCTGCTTCATGGTGCAACAGACAGCACTGTAGTGTTAGGATCTACAAAGAACTGCAGCTATATATAAGGGCAGAATTTTAGCATCCTAAGTCTCTTGTTTTACAGCAGGCAGGGTCTTATCCTGCCTTGCTGTTATTTTATCCATGCTGGAGTTGGGGGCCCAAGTCAGATGGGTAGCCCAGTTTTGCGAACTGGTGGTGGCCAAGGGTGGAGGCGAAGTATCTCCTTTGAAGATTCCCTGTACCCATTGGAGTCACATCCCTCAACTCCACTAGGTCATATCAATCTTCTAAAGTTCCCTGTTCCTGGCCATTCAGATCCAGCCTCCCAATCCCTGAACTCCCTCCCCATTGCAGCATACTTGCAGTGTAAGCTTCCCGGCAATACTCAGCTTTTGCTATCCTCCTCTTTTTCGGAGTGTGGCTAGAGTCTCAGCAGAGTGGCTGCAGTTTGAGCCACAAACCTGCTGGCCTTCCATTTGGCTGACAGTTCTCCAAGGTTGGACAGCCCTCCCTACCCCAAGCCCCAGATAGGGCCAGAAGTCCTGCTCTTAGCCAATAAACAGCCTGCTGAAAGTTAAATAGCTGCCTTAGGCAAGGTGCAGCCAATATTGGTGGGATTGCATTTCCTGTCTACACTTCAGGGGTGGGGGGAGCTAAGGATGGATGGTAAAGCTCACCATCTGAAATTCCTGTGCATGAAGTGAGTGGAGGAGCTGGGTTTATGATTTTCCTCTTCGCATTCCCTCTGGTATGGACTGCCATTAGATTACAGAAGGATTTATAGAAACATAGAAGATAATAGCAGGAATAGGCATTTCGGCCCATTGAACCTGCTTTGCCATTCATAATAATCTTGACTGATCATCTAACTCAGTACCCTGTTTCCATTTTCTCCCCATTTCATTTGACCCTTTCTGCCTAAGAACTATATCTAACACCTTTTTGAATACATTCAATGTTTTTGCCTTAACTAGTTTCTGTGGCAGTGAATTACACAGGCTCACCTGGATATGCTCCCCTATTGAATTTGCCAGTGTAGTCTTATTAGAATGTTTTAGGTTTCTATGAGATCCCCTCTCATTCTTCTAAACTCCAGAGAATTTAGTCCTAATTGATCCATTTCTCTACACTTCCATAATTATTCTCAGCAACTGGTGTTTTGTTGTAGCTCCCTCTTTCCCAATCTATCACCATCCAGACAATAATCTGCCTTTCTGTTTTTGCTACCAAAGTGGATAACATCATGTTTATCAACATTATATTTAATCTGACATATATTTGCCTACTCATTCAACTTGTCTAAATCACACTGAAGCATTTCTGCATCCTCCTCACAGCTCACCCACCCAGCTTTGTGTCGCCTGCAAACTTGGAGATATTGCATTTAGTTCGCTCATCCAGTCATTGATTTTTTTTATTCTGAATAGGTAGGGTCCAAGCGCGGATCTCTGTGGTACCCCACCAGTCATTGGCTGCCACAAGAAGAAGACCCATTTATTCCTACTCTTTGTTTCCTGACTGTCAACAAGTTCTCTATCCAAGTCAGTACATTACCCTCACTTCCATGCACTTCAGTTTTGTATGCTGATCTCTTATTTGGGACCCTATTGAAAGCTTTTGAAAAGTCCAAGTAAACCACAACCATTTCAGGATGGAAAATAAACTTTCATGTTATGGTGCTTTTCATGATCCCAAGACGTTTCAATGTGCTTTCCTGCCAATAAAGCACTTTTGAAAGAGTCACAGCTGTAACACAGGCGACAATTCCAACAGCTAATTTTTGAGATGAACATAAATTACGTGAAATCCTCATGGAAGATTGAGGAAAAGATCATCTTCGTTGCCACCTGTTGCTGTACCCAAACTTCAATGCAGTTTGCATCTGAAACTTAATTTGCAATTAAAATTGTGAAAATAGTTTGCACTTCCAGTTTGGAATTTGGCTGCTGTTAATCTGTTCACAATTATATGATTGCACCAGTTTTAAATCTACCCTTAAGATGAGGTTGTATTTAACATCATATTTCAATAAAACAAAGATCTGCAGATGCTGAAGATCTGAAACAAAACAAAAATTGCTGCAGAAACTCAGCACCTTTGGTAGCATCTGCAGAGACAGGAACAGAATAATCGTTTGGAGTCCAGTGACACTTCTTCAGCATGTATTATATTTACCATTGACTTGCCTTTATTGGTCATTGCATTAAGTATAGGAGTTAGGACGTCATGTTGTGGCTGTACAGGACATTGGTTAGGCTACTTTTCGAATACTAAGTTCAATTATGGTCTCCCTGCTGTAGGAAGGACGTTGTGAAACTTGAAAGGGTTCAAAAAATATTTAAAAGGATGTTGCCAGGGTTGGAGGGCTTGAGCTATAGGGTGATGCTGAATAGGCCGGGGCTAATTTCCCTGCAGCGTCGAAAGCTAAGGGGTGATCTTATAGAGGTTTATAAAATCATGAGGGGCATGGATAGGGTGAATAACCAAGATCTTTTTCCGAGGGTGGAGGAGTGCAAAACCAGAGGCCATAGGGTTAAGGTGAGAGGAGAAAGATTTAAAAGTGACCTAAGGGGCAACTTTTTCACACAGAGGGTGGTGTGTGCATAGAATGAGCTGCCAGAGGAAGTGGTGGAGGCTGGTACAATTGCAACATTTAAAAGGCATCTGGATGGATATATGAATAGGAAGAGTTTAGTGGGATATGGGCCAAATGCTGGCAAATGGGGCTAGATTAATTTAGGATATCTGGTCAGCATGGACAAGTTTGACCGGAGTGTCTGTTTCAATGCTGTAGAGCCGTATGACTCTATAACGGAAATTCTCAGCAGGTCTGGCAGAATCTGGGGAGAGAAAGCAGAATTAACATTGCTTGTGTTCTGAAGAAGGGTCATTGGACACGAAATACAAAATCTGCTTTCCATGGACAGAAGCTGCCAGACCTGTTGAGTTTTTCCAACAATTTCTGTTTTTGTTTCTAATTTCCAGCATCTGCAATGTTTGTTTTTAAAATACATATTTATCATTAGTTTATTTAACCTCGTTTGCGGATCCTCTGCTCATGGCATCAAATTGCCAATTAACTAGTGGGACCCACAACCTGAATTTAAAATCATAACAGTCCAAGTAACTCGAGAATAGAGGCAATCATGTGATTTAATTAATCCTTTCCTGGGTTTTCCCCAGGGTGAATTAAAACAAAACTGTACATCAATAGTGAGGTTTTGGAATGACATTGCCGTTTTAAGGTCTGCAAAGTGCTGAGTCGATCTGATTGAGTCGGGAAGGGAAGCCTCATCTATGCGCAGGTTTGAAGGGCAGGCGTGTGTAGTACTAGAGGGTGTGGAGAGAGACTGGGTACTTGCAGTATCACCGTGTAACTCAGACCGCCTTTGAAATCGACATGGCGCCTTATACAGCTCCTCAGTTTCAGCCCGGGCTATACTTTCTCCTATCAACCGCGGTGGCGATCTCTTCTGCTTTTAACATCGATGTGAAGTTCCCGATCATTAAACAGGGACCACCCGGCAGCTACTTCGGATATTCGGTGGCTTTACACCGACAACTGAAAGATCAGGATCGCTACCTGTAAGTACATTGTAGATCAGGAGTAAGAGAGAGAGAGCGGTGTGTGTGTGTGTTGTGTGTGTGCTGGTGGGTTGCTTAGGGATGGTACCGGCGGCAGTAGTTTGTAAGTACAGGTGAAATACTGTAAAATGGGATCGACTTTCAAAACCCGAGAACTGTTGATTGAACTTTTTAAAAAAGAAAAATAAGATTGTTATTGTCTGAATCACCTAGGCTTAGTTTTAACGTTCAATAGGAAGTAGTTTTACACATTCACATCCTTATTTGCAGCAGTTTCTATTGGAGTGTTTTTTAAATCATCTCAATATAATACACTTCTAATACATATATACATATATGAATGTGGGTTCTCTTCTAAATGAATAGCCTATCGTCCTGAACCATAAACTTGATTTTCAGCGGGTGCTGATCTGTTGCAAATTCTGTGCAAAGTTTAGGGAATGGAAACTTTTCAGGCCGATTGAGGCGCGGCGACACTGGCAGATAGCTCAGAGAGCGTGAGACAATGCCCTGATTGTCCGAGTCTCTTCCTCAAGCGTTATCTCCAAGTATCCCCACACCTTATGTGAGAGTCCGGGACGCTCCAGATCGCCGGCAGAAACACAATATCAATTGCTTTGCGTTTTGTTTTCTCGAATTGCCTTGCATTACGGTGAAGAGACACAATAAGGACTTTCTCAAACGGAGTGTGCAGTGGGAGTAGATTGCTGACCGGTTTATATCATGAACTGAGGATAGTGTGGAGTTGTTTCTGAATGGGGTGGGATATGGGTTTAATATACATCGTTTCCAGCAATTCTTCAGTCCGAGTGCTCCCATTTTGAGACTTTCCCCTTGTGTCTGTGTGTGTGGAGAGGTCCGTATAGACGCTCGAAGTAGTTCACTCATCTGAAACAGGAATAGAAATTGCCGGAGAAATTCAGCAGGTCTGTGCAGAGGGAGAGGGAGAGAGAGACAGAGAGAAACAGTTCACTTTCCGAGTCCAGTGAGCCGTCTTCATTAGATCACGAATCTGTCCTGTCTCCCGGTCGATGTGTGATCTGCCTGTTCTTTTGTGTTCAGGTTTTCCCGGTGGAGATGGTTGGCGATGTGGTTTTAGGAGGAAGTGAGTGGTGTGCTCGGGACACCTGTAATCGAAAAGTGAATGTGTTTTGTGGCTGCGCCAACTCCGGAATCACAGCAGCTCCTAGCCCATCATCCCGCGCCTTGGGGAGTGGGAAACTTGGCTTGTTTGTCTAAGCTGAGCGCTGCTTTAATAGGAGGATAAAGGACTTATCAGCAAGGCATTCCTTTCGCGGATTTGTGGGCTGGGGGAAGGGTAGCACTGCATATTTCCTTTTGCAGACACAAATTGTTAAAACGTGAGACCCAGGCTTTCCTCCTCAGAGTTCATTGATCTACCTGGGGTTCCTATGGAGACGTTAGAATTTGTTTTTTTTCCGTCTTGCACGCGTTTGTTGTAGTAGATTTCGAGAACGTAAATTTGGGATTGGAATGGCATGTTGCTTTACAGACTGTTGCCTCACCCCTCCGCTTAATCACCCTAACGATCTGAAAAAAATGCGTTGATCCAATTTGCTCAGTGAATCATTCACTCAAATCTGACCAGCCACACTTTCGCCAACTGCATTTATGCAGGGCTGACATTCAAGTAAAGAGTTGGAAAGCGTTTTGCCAGACCATTTTTCCGCATGGTTTGTACACAGAACTGACTTTCTCTCCTCAACTTTTATTCCCCTTTCTTTTCTGGATGTTTTCTGCTAAACCGTGTTACCCAGTGCCACCTGATGTTTCACTGAAATGGTTGTGCACACACTGAGATTTGGACAATATCGAGCTATCTAAGTTGATCCCCAATCCTCTCTCATCTGATCGTCACACTGGTACATTACTTCAAGAATTTGAAACCTCACCTTGTATTGCCCTCGCCTTAAATGGGAGACCTTGAAGCAACTCCAGCTGAGAATGGGTAAACTTTGTACTGTGATCAGGAATTCACCCTTCGGCCCTCTGTCTGTCTGTCTGTCTCAGATACCGAGGAGAACCTTGCTATTCCAATGAGAAAGGGAATGAAGGACTATGGGAAAAGGCAGGAAAGTGGAATTGAGGGATTATCAGATCTGCCATGATCTCACTGGCACAGCAGACTTGATGGGCTAAATGTCCTGTTTCAGCCCTTTGCACATTTTAGTTTTGAAAATTGTGCTACCTTCAAAATGAAAAGTTGCCAACGCAGAATGATGAAACTGCTGTTTGGTTGCTCAGAAAATTTTGCAGAACTACAAATAAACTGTTTTAAAACAAAGAACAGTGAATGCTGGAGATCTGAAACAAACAGAAACCGAAATTGCTGGAGGAACCCCACAGGTTTGGAAAGAAAACAGAGTTAGCATTTTAAATTTAGTGCCCTTTCTAATAAATTGCTTTTCCAGATGATGATTTTTCTATTCTGACCATCTGATTACTGACTGATTACTGACAGAATTTAGATATGTATTTTTTACCAAGTAGATACATATGAGTAAAAATGACTCTAGCCTTTTCTCCAATTTTCACTTGTCCTACAGGCAGTGATTCACAGTGGATTCTGATTACTTGCTGCTGGCTACCTGTCACTACTTCATCATACCACTGGCCATTCTTTGCACATGATTTCATCAGGGAGTGGCAACAGGTTATTTGATTATGGAAAATGTCACAGTCAAGTATGCCACTGACTTCCACTGAACTCCTTGCAGGCATACTCTCCAATAAGAGAATGAGGATTTTTCTTTCCCCCCAGACACAGTAGTGTCCTTTTATTTTGTAGTGAAGAAATGCAGATGTGCCTGCTTTTTTTGCACACCTGCAGTCTCAGTTGATTTCTACATAATACTTCAATGACTATGTTGCTGGGATCAGAAGAGGATAGTGTATCTACTCACCCTGTTCCATCACTCTCCAAGCTTGGCACTCTATCCCTGAGCTGAGATTCTGACCTCTTTTCGACTTCCTCAGCAACAGCAGCTACTTTTTTTTTCTTTAATCGTTCCCGGGATGAGGGCGTCGCTGGCCAGGCAGCATTTACTGCCCATCCCTAATTGCCCAGAGGGCAGTTAAGAGTCAACCACATTGCTGTAGGTCTGGAGTCACATCGAGGCCAGACCAGGTAAGGATGGCAGTTTCCTTCCCTAAAGGACGTTAGTGAACCAGATGGGTTATTCCGACAATCGACAACGGATTCATGGCCATCATTAGATTCTTGATTCCGGATATTTTATCAAATTCAAATTCCACCATCTGCCATGGTGGCATTCGAACCCAGGTCCCCAGAACATTATCTGGGTCTCTGGATTAAAAGTCCAGAGATAATACCACTAGATAATGCCTCCCCTCCGTAACACTTCCTTAGTCCTGTCTCAGCTTATCTGCTAAAATCCATCTAATGACACTAACTTGCATTAAAGGCTGTCTATGAATATAATAGTTAAACTTCAGGTACTGTACTGGAATATTGTAAAACAAAACATGACACAAAAACACGTAAAGAGATATTAGGTCAGATGACATAAAGCTTGGTCAAAGATGTAGGTTTTAAGAATATCTCAAAAGAGCAAAGTGAGACAGGAAACTGTGGACAGGGTAGTCCAAAACTTTTGGCCTTGTCTCTAATGCTGTCTTGGCCAGTCTCACAGCTTAATTTCTCTAATGCTGAGCTAATGCAAAACTCTAATGTTCAAATCTGAACACGTTCCATGTCTTGTTCACCAATACCTTTTCCTCACTGACCTACACTGACACCCAGTTTATCGATGCATCTATTTTAAAGCTATCTATTTATCCATCCTGACCCCTTCTTATCTCAGTAATCCTGTGTAGCTCTACAGCCCCAAGACTTCTGTTCTCCTCCAACTATGGTCTGTTGTGCATCCCCAGTTTTAATAGCCCCGCCAAGGGGCCTTCAGCTGCCTCAGTCTACCTCTGGCATTTCTTCCCTAAAACTCTTCATTTTTCTAACTTTCTCTCCTTCAATAAGATAAACCTTAAAACATCCCTTTGAGGAAGCTACTGGTCATGTGTAATGATACCACCTCATATGGATCAATTAAAAATGTTGCCTGCCAATGGGAATGTTATACTGTTCTAAAAGCACTAAATAAGTGTAAGGTGTTCCACCAAACTTTGTAGTCTTCCTTTGCGATAGTATCGATGATACATACTGGGTAGAAGTTTGCAACACAATCTTTAAAGCCAGTGCAATAGAAGACGAGATTCTGAAATAGCCACAACAAACAACTGATGCACATTATGCAGCCTTCAGCTAGGTCAGACAAGTCATTTCATATGACCTGCTGACTGGGACAACATTGTGTATGGACCTGGGGAGGAAGGGTAGAGGAGTCATGTTCCCTTCTGCCTCCTGACTCAGATTTAACGTGGTGATCCCGAGAGGCTGAAATCATAAAGGGTGTTATTTTGTGTTCATTTATTGTCAAGAGTGAATGCTTGAAGAGTTTTAAACAATTACACTATTGACTGTGCTGTCTGTTTAGCTGAGAAAAGTAAATAATGTGTAGGAAGTATGTGAATCTTATTTGTGGTCAGTTTTTGTAAAATATAACTAAAGGGCTGCATCACCAGCCCAATGTCTTTTGTGAATTGTTTGGCCTGGGTTGTTAATGATGCCACAGAAAAATACAAACCTTTCTTTGCACTGTCTTCTCCTGAAGACTCCAAAACGTAAAACCTCCTTTACTTATAATAGAAGATTCCCATTCATGGATGGTGAATGTTGGTAGCCGGTTAAGACTCTCCAAAATTTGATTATTGCAGACACTAAAGACAAAATTGCAGTACATACAATGAAACAAATATTTATTTCATTCATCAAAGAGACAAACAGTGCACTGGAATTATTACATGGAATTCCTCAATTTGTATTATTGTATTTGGAACAGCTTGTTATAATTTAGATCATTTTATAATTAGATGCACTTTTTCTTGTGACTTTATTAATGTCT